GAGGTTAAAAATTTCAGTGTTAATTATAATTTCATTTACACTGTAGTACAATCTATGTTTTTGTGAATCTGACACAATAAACAAATTGTACTATGGTTTTAGAATGATTTATTCATTGGCCATATAATATTAAGATAGCCTTTATTTCTACTTATCTTCTTTACTGATATTTCACTTTCTTTTGGTGTTCATTATTTCTATTGAAAAATTTGATACCTTTACATAGTAATTTGTCTGTTTGCCTCTTTATGTCTCCTTTTATGTCTGTGTTTTTATGCCTTTGTTGTTGTAACATTGAAATATATTTAGGTATAGTTATTTTTGTGTTTTTTTTTCCATTTGAGTTTCATTGTACTTCTTAATCTGAGAGCTTATAATAAATTGTTAAATATTGCTTTATATTATATACACTGATATATAAATTATTTTGTCTATTATAGTTATACAATTTTTACTCATTTTGACCTAAATGTTAACATTTCTCTTTTCTTTATATTATGTTTTTTATGAATTATTATTGTACAAATGCTAGTCCTGAATTTACATTTTAATGTACCATTTATGTACTTATTCTTTTTTTCCTTTTTATACTACAGTATTTATAATGCAGATCTATATTTTGATTGGTTTAACTTTCACTTTTGTTTATCATTAAATATATCTAAGCAATTTTAATTTCAATGACTAACTTTTAAATTTTTATGGTATATGTTTTGGCTTTTATCCATTGTAAAAATATATAACACTAGAAAGTAAATTTATAACAAACAAAATAGTCATCAATGTAGCAACACAGAAAAAGTCTCAGTAGGGTAAATTTATCACATCTCTTTAATTAGTAGATTAAGTGCAATTTTAGTTAAAATTTTAGCAGAAGTTCATAGACATTCACATATACTGCTTTTTGGTTGTGAAAAATAATACAATCATTTGAAAAATTATTCACCTAGAAATGTTTAGCATACATAGACACACAAGCACACACACACACACACACACACACTCACACATATTTGGTCTCACATGTCAACTTACATTATATATGTATGTTTGTGTACACACACACACACACACACACACACACACACACACACGCCTATTTATACAGAGGGTGCCAAAAATGTATACACATTTTAAGAAAGGAAAAACTGTATTAAAATTGTTATATTCAATATGATGAGTACAAAGTCATGTTTGACTACTACAGTTATAAGGGGTGCTCAAATTGGTTACCATCAACGTCCCGACACTTCTCATTATGGCAAACATCTCTTAAAATGTGTATACATTTTTTAGCATCTCTATGCACACAAAAATAAAGTACCTGGTAGTGTCATTCATAATAGGCCAGTCTGAATATGAATTAAAAGTTCACTAGCTGTAGAATGAATAAATAAAAGTCTGATATACTTAAATATAGTTTATTCTAATTATTTGTGATAGATCTATAAAATTATCACTAACACTGTAATATTTGAACAATGAACTATTGTTCCCAAAGGAAATGAAGAGTTAGTTTCCTGTGAGCATCTGTCCACAATATTTTTAATCAGTCAATCAAATCCTAACCTTATTTTATGTAATGTTTCTGTTTAAAAATATCTTATTTAATATATGTTGTTGATTAATGAACATTGAATTCATGGCCAACAGTAGTACAACTCATCTCTGAACATAGCTTACCATTAACCACATCACATTATATAATAAATTGTTATATAAATTAATCTAGTCTATTATATTTTGTAAAATTTTTGCACATTTTGATCTAAATTTTAACATTTCTCTTTCCTTTCTAATATATTTTTAATAATCATTATTGTACACACTTTAGTCTTGAATTTACATTTTAATTTATCATTTATATGTTTTTTCCTTTTTATACTGCAGTATTTATCATTCAGATCTATATCTTAATTTGTTTAATCTTTGTTTTTGTTTAAACTTTTAAAATATATCCATAAAAATTTTAATTTTAATGATTAGCTTTTTAAGTTACTCATCAGGTTTAAGGTTTTTAGCAATTTGAATTTTAAAATATGATTAACTTTTATAATTTCAATGATTAACATTTAATATCAGCTTTATTGTATTTGGGAACACTAGATTACACTTCAACATGGAATGTGAAGGTCATTTTTAAACAGCAAAACTGACAGTAAGAGAGAAAAAAAATTACAAAAAATAGATACTAGTTAACCATAAAAATAATACTTGTTTATAGTATCAAAGTTCAAATAAGAAGGCAGAACATCGCCTCATTTGGATTCAGCTGGTAATATGCATGTACAGGAAAATTATTTTGCCACACTGTGCATGTCTACAAATGACAACCATAAAAGACCATGAGTATTGATTTTGGGGTTATGAATAAATGTAAGAAAGTAGTTGACTTTACAAATACAGAATCTGCAAACAATGAATATCAGTCAGTTTCTCTTCAGCAATAAAAGAAATAGCACTAACAATGGCCAAAAACAAACAAAATGATCTTGCAATCATAATGTAAAGTACAAATAGCCAGATTCAAATAATGAACACATATGTATCCATTTATGTAATGTTCAAAATCAGGCAATAGTTACATTGGTAACAGAAATTTATATAATGATTTCCTTCAGATAAGTAATATCTAGGAATAATAAAAAGAAAGGAGAATCTATTTAAATTGAGCCTCACCACCCTAACATAAAAATCAAAGTGTTAGATTCTAGGCTAAAAATAATCTCCATGATTATAATTGTATCATAATATTATTTTTTACCTTCTTTAGTATTATGTAAAGTCTTTTACATTTCCTTAGTATTTCAGAGTAATGATAGACACTTTGAAAAATGATATAATTTGTGCAATTATTAGCATAGCATTTTAACATTTTATTACTGATATTTCCTATTAATTTTAAGTTTGACATCATTGTCTAAAGGTGGAATTATATTAATAATAAGTGATGTTAGTTTTTCCCACTTTTGAACATCTAGTAATAATTTATATTCAGTAAGTGTAGTTCTCTAGTTTGAAGAATGAATTTAAAAGCCAGACTTACTATTTCTGAAACATACTTCTATTTTTAATCTGCTGGCAAACAGTTTCGATCATTTCAAACTGAATGCATGTAATTTGTGTTGGACTATGTTGAAGCTGAAATCATACTAAATCCGACCTTGACAAAAGCTGGCAGTCTCAAAGCAAAAGTGATATTTACAGATAAATATTTTCCACAGTAATATGGGGCCATTAGATTGGAGACCCATGATAAATGTGTAACCCTGAAGGTCCTTGAGTTTTCTGTTAGAATAGCTCTTCACACTTTTACTCATGATGTACTGTTCATTATCATATAGAAATTGAATCATTAGACCACTTGCCTACTGTGAGTTTGTAACCTTGAGGTACCACAATTTACTAGGTGAGACACTTCTAATTCTTTAATTTTTGATATCAGACACATCTCAAAATAGACAACAAATGAATATAGAATGGACAGATGAATGGTTGGATAGATGGATGGATGGATGGATGGATGGATAGATGGATGGATGGATGGATGGATAAGTTCACATGTAGTTATTAACAACTCTCAGAATGGGTAGTCCTACTTTGAACTTCTTACCAATTTTGTAGTTCTAACCAAGAATCAAGATTAGAGAATTAATTTTAAATCAATAGTGACTCAAAACATTCTCTGCAAATAGTAAGGAATAACTTGGTTCCAGTGTCTTGCAGAATTTTCTTTCCTTTCCTTTCCTTTCCTTTCCTTTTCCTTTCTTTCTTTCTTTCTTTCTTTCTTTCTTTCTTTCTTTCTTTCTTTCTTTCTTTCTTTCCTTCCTTCCTTCCTTCCTTCCTTCCTTCCTTCCTTCCTTCCTTCCTTCTTTCTTTCTTTCTTTCTTTCTTTCTTTCTTTCTTTCTTTCTTTCTTTCTTTCTTTCTTTCTTTCTTTCTTTCTTTCATAGGGTCTCACTCTGTTGCCTGGACTGGAGTGCAGGGGCACATTCAGGGCTCATACAGTTTCAACATCCTGGGTTCAAAGGATTCTTCCAACTTAGTTTCCCCAGTAGCTGGGACTACAGGTGAGCACCATCACCCTGGATTTTTTTTTTTTTTTTTGTAGAGACAAGGTTTTGCTGTTTTGCCCAGGTTGGTCTTGAACTCCTGGGCTCAAGCAGTCTTCTCCCCTCAGCCTTCCAACATGCTGAGATTACAGGCATGAGCCACCTCATCCTCAGAAATTTTGATAGTGATATAACACTTCCATGTGCCAAGATCTGCTATAAGTGCTTTACATGCATAATTCATCTTGTTGTTAACATAACTTTATAGGATACATACAGTTATTATTCCATTAAACAGATTATACATATCTCCTAAAGCTTTTAGTTTATTACTATTAAGATTTGTTTTAATAAGTTAAGAAGAAATAGATGAAAATAATCAAGGGCCAGAGATTGGAGCCAGATGGCTCAGATGCAAATCCTGCATCACCTCTTACTTTTTGTGCAACTGAGCTCGGCTCAAACTTAAAGTGTGAAGTCATAGGGTTATGAAACATGACCAAGGCAATGCTTATGTACATATTACTTAGTTTACTACTATCTAGTAAATACAACTAAGCTACTATTATTTAGTGAAGCTAACTATTGTCTCAACTTTTGTTAAAAACAAAACAAGACTTAATTCTGGATTCTGTAATGATTAGGAATGTCTTAACTGGCCTCTGCCTAGGCCAGTTATGGGTATGGAAGTAGCCATATTAGCATTATGATATATTCATTAATCTAATTTTTAAAACAAAACATATTTAAATTACTTTAGTTCATTATGCTCAAGGAGTAAAATGAAAGAAAAGTTTCCAAAAAACACATATGTTTTCCAGTTATTCAAGTAATAAGATACATTATAAATGACAGTCAGATGGCAGCGTACAAATTACTTGGTCAAGAATATTGCATAAACGTGAATAGTTTTTAAAGATTTACTTTCAAAAGAAGTAATCATGCATACCTGGACAACTTTTTGGGCCTGCACATCAACAATAAGTACTCTGTCCAAAATTGGCTGTGCCACATAAATGAACTTGTCTTTAACGTTGACAGCTGATGCCCACATACATCTTTGAATTTCCTCTCCCTCACCTTTGGGACAGACTTCATCCTGTAATATAGAATATGGAAAATCAACTGCATATCTTAATTATAACATGTGTATGACAGTATTATACATAAAATTAATGTTTGATGCTTTACTCCTTTCAGCATCAAATGTTAAATATGTATATCGAAATAGTTTAATCAAATAAAATAGTATATAGAGAAAATTAAGTTCATTAAATATATATAGAAACCAATGTAAATGAGATCCCCTTAAAATAAATTTTACGTCCTTAATTACTTAGTTTTCTGGAGAAATTTAGTTCTTTCATCGTTTATTCCTTGTTTAAAAATCAGCAACATCAGAAATTCCACTGTTTTCTCCCAGTCTAAAGCTTCTTTGTTTTTGTTTTTAACATAATCAAAGTTACATTAAATTTTTTCAGAGCTTCTCAAAACATTGGTCCTCCCATCCCCCAGCAAATCCAAGTTCTTGTCAAAAGTAACCAAATCCTGTGGGAATGATTACAGGAGTCATCCACTTTGTAGTGAATCGGAAGCTTTGAGAAACTATAATAACGTAGTTACACACAATGGTTATTTCAATTTTCAATTCGATACCAAAGTCAGATTTTTTTAAATCTTTCATTATTCCCAAGGCTTTGTATTCTGCTCTTTTGCCCTAGTACTATCTTCTGGTTGAAGATTGTATATAGTTTGTGTTAGATGGTCATCAGTTAGGCCAAAAACAAACAAACAAACAAACAACCCACCCTCTATTTCTTCTTTTCCTTCATTTTGTCAATAAATAAGTGTTGAAGAGACACAAAAGCCTTTGTGATTCATACTGGGAGACATATCATAAGTAGAAGTACACAAAAAAAGTTATTTAGCTCATGATTTGTAGTTTCAGGTTATTCCTTTATTCATTGTTCTGTTATGTATAGTTAGATAAATCAACAAGTCAGATTTGTTAAATTGTACATAAAACATATGTATAATGATGAACAGTTATTTATATAATGATAATGATAAACAATTATTCCAATGTTTCACTTGATTTGTTATTTAGGTCTGATCATTCATTGACTTATATACTTCAATAGTTACTTCCTGAATTAAATTAGACTCATATTCTCTTCTCTACTCCATATAAAAACACTAGTTTTTCAGCAGAGATCATATTCACCATATATATTTGATAATCATGAAACAAAATCAGCAACACTTTCACTATAGATATCACTGGTAATTTATTTTTAAAGATAATACTGACAGCAGATACACTACATTTGACATTTAGCAACTGTAGTGAATACCGAAAACCGTAACCCTTCTCAGGCAGTGCAACCATTATAGGTGGTTTACCTATAGTTTTCCAAGTGCATACAATTTGGAAAATAAGGTAAATCCCAGAGCACTTTGGAATGAGAGGCTCTGTTTATGTTCTCTAAACTTCAGATCAAATTCAGGAAACATCTGGATGTCCATTAACCTTTAAGATGCAGTCCAGCATTGCAAGGTTTAGGAACATATAATGATAGTGTTCTCCTTGAAACAACACAGGATGTTCTAGGCTCAAGATATAAACAAACAAACAAACAAAAATCTGAAAACTAAGCACACAATGTATACATATATCAGTTGATTCTGGAGTTAGGAAATTAACTCCATGTCATCAAACACACCATAAGCATTACAGGTAATCCTCAGTGGAGTTCAACCTGGGTGCCATCCATGGCACCCTTAAGAAGATAGCACAAACCCGGACACTGTAGTCTGTCCTCAGCATACGTTCAGAATAAAGCACAGTATTATACTTTCAGTCACCAATTCCCACTGAAACAATGTTTTCTATGCCAAACTTTTCTTCAGAAGTAGACTGAGTGTCATTGACAAGAATCTATTTTGTGAGGAACAAACAGTAGACAAAATACGCATTTGAAAGGTAGGAGAGAAGTCGGGCCTAAGGTTGGAGAAAGCCTCTGAATACAAGGAAATTGTTTACAGCTTCTTTGTTGTTATGTAAAAACTACCAAAAAAACCTGCCAAAATAATAAGAGTGTGAGTGACCTGCCACACAACTGTCAGCCAAACAACTGCTGAACCAGGAACAATTTCCACCCCTTTGTTTGCTATGAAACTATTCAACAGTAAAATAAACTGCTCTGCTGGGAATTATTTTCTATTTGTATGCTGTCCCCATAAAACATCTCTGACCAGATTTGCAATCATTTTTACAAAGCCATTAAAAGTTTTCTGACAGTCATCCTCAATTTTCTTTGCTTTGATTTATGCTAATATTTCTGATTATAGTCTATTAGGTATGACTTTGCAATAGCACTCTTATTTTTTTAGATTACATAGATTAATATTTATTTCTCTGCATGGGAGTTGTAGAAAAATGGTTTTAACATGTATTAGGCATTTAATGGGACACAAAGAAAACAAAAAAATCCAGACATGAAAAATAAGATTAAGATAATACATACTGATGAAGAAAATCATCAGAAATTATATGAAAGAGTATCATTAAATCACTTTTTATAGAAACGTATGCTACCATTAAAGTGGAAGGAATTAATAAGATGTTAGAAGTATTGAAGATGAGAGTCAAGAAAAAGACAATTCTAGTTTATAATTGGGACTTATTCCTTTTGGGTCATTTCTGTATTTAATCACAGATTTCCTGCATAAGTATTATTCTTTCCCAACAGGTTAAAGAATGCAAGCTATATTATTACCTATGGTATAAGTTTTAACTTAGCAATTAAAATTATGTCAGTGTTACCTGATCTGCTAAACTTAAGTCAAGCAAAAGAATATATACACTTGTCTTCTTCTAGGACTTTGCCATTTTTATTTATTATACAGATAACTTATCAAAAAATACTTTGTCCTAAAATCCGTGAATTTCTATCTTTCCTTACTTCTTCTTTATGTACCCCCCTCTCAACACATTCTGTATCATTCACAGAGAAGACAAATATTTCTCACAAACACCTCTGTTTCCCTTGTGCCCAAACAACAGGTTCCTGTGAGAACTCCCTCTTCTCCTTCTAACCAATCTTTTTTTTTTTTTTTTTTTTTTTTAAGTTGGAGTCTCACTCGGTCGCCCAGACTAGAGTGCAGTGGCCGCTCCCAGCCACCGCAGCCTCGACCCGCTGGGCTCCGGTGATCCTTCTGCCTCTGCCTTCCGATTAGCCAGAAGTACAGGCATGCGCTACCACGCCCGGCTGATTTTTTTGATTTATTGTAGAGATGAGGTCTCACTGCCCAGGTGGGTCTCGAACCCGCGGGCTAAGGCAATCCACTCACCTCAGCCTCTCAAAGGCGCGGGATTACAGGCTGAGCCACCAAGCCCAGCCTTCTAACCAATCTTAAAAGATCCATCCACTATTACTTGCTTTCAGAAAGACCTGCCCTACACTTGTCTCCGAGTATTAAAACATCCCCACGGCCCTACAAATTCAAGAAACAAACTATACAGCAACTTGAATCGAATTCATCTTCTTTCCTATCCAATCATCCATCTAATTCTCTTCAGACTTCTGAACAAGCTTTCTGGAATGTTCCTTCCATTCCCTGGCCTTTTACTCTAAACTGATCATACTTCAAACTGACTTCCAGATTATTTCTTTCAAAAGAGATGTCTTCAGAGTGACCAGTGGCCTCAGAATTTCTAATTACGTCTCCATTTCTTGTTTGGGAGCATTTATTTAGCACTCGCTATGTTAAGAATATCGTGCAAGGCTATGTTTGAAAATAAAAATCATGAATATGAAAGGATGCTTGCTCTCATGTTGCATATAGTTTCTGCTGCATTTAGCTGTTTCAAACACATGATTCCTCATAAAATGTTCTTTAATTCTTGTAAGGCAGGGATCAGAAAATAAGGGTCCCCAGGCCAAACTTGGCCATTGACAAATTTGGTATGGTCCAGGAACTAAGAATGTTTTCTACATATTTTATCAGTTGAATAAAAGAAGAAGTAATATAATTTCATTTAAATATTGCCTATGGGTGTTTTTATGCTATAATGACAGACATATGTACTGAAAAGCCTAAGGTATTTAATCTGGCCATTTGCCAGAAAAAAAAAACGTTGCTTATCTCATTCTGCTATCCATCCCTACTCTAGTTCTCCTTTTAGTCCCATTAGGTAAATTATTTCTGACTGTGGTGGTTTCTTTATCTTTTGTTCCCTAATTATAGCTTCAGGAAAGCCAAGGCTGAGACTCGTTTTCTGCTCTATTTCCTTTACATTAAGCTTCTCTGATTCTCATCCATTCTGATTGCCTAATTACTAATCCTGGGCAGATGACACCCAGAGATTCATCTATGGTTTTTCCATTCACCAGGCTTTTTCTCTTCATCTTCTTTTAGAAAAATTGTTGACCAGGCAATTTCACAGAGATATAATATAGAACAAGCAATTTTAATATATTAAGGTGATCCAAACTTAAACAGGCAAATAAACCAAAAAAAAAAAAAAAAAAAAGAAAAGAAATACTTACATACCTGAACACCGACAGACAGAGAAAAATAGATAATAGGTTTGGTTTATATTAAGAAATTTAAAAAAAAGTAGTTTTATAAACTAAAAGACTAGTGGACAGAGAGTAAAACTGACAATAAGAATAATTTCTAAACCTATATATATAGATCTTAAGTATAGTTGATATGTAAAATATCCTGTCTTTTAGAGAAAAAAATACAGATGGTTATCTGTGGAAAGGCAGGTCTAGGAAGATGGGGAAGTAAAGCACAGAAAGCATATGTACACAAATCCATCCATCCATAAGGCATCCATAATGCATCCCTACCTTCCATGGGTTTCACTGATTTTCTTCTGAACTTTCACAGAATGTGTATTTTGTGACACATATTTTGGCATTGAATATTATGCTATCACTTCCAGTTAAAATGCCTATATTTCCCATATTTCTATTGCTATTCCTATATTTCTACCTTTCTAAACACAACGGTGAAGGTAAAATATTTGCTCAGTAAATACATGTTTAAATCTTACTTATTATAGTCAAAAAATAAGAGTCAAGAAGT